ACTTAGAAACCTCACTAAACCTAGCCTAAATTTGCCTAATTTTGTTTTTGCTAAATTCTGCTATATATAGCATAGGTCAGTTTAAATTTATTGAATACTGTTTCAAATCAATGATACATATTTTTTTAATATGTTCAGATTGATTTCCACTGATTTATGGCAAAAATAAATTTTCATTCTGCTAATTCAGTAAAGAATACCTTTACCGAATAGGCAAAACTCATCGATTCGGTTTAATTGGCACAATATATACATACATACACAACATATATTTTATGTAGCATGTATGTAATATATATATATAAAATAATATATATATATATATATATATATATATATATATATATATATATATATAGGGAAGGTACCACCTCTAGAACTTTACTGGGGACCCTCATCCTCAAGAAGACAATAAACGTACTTCAGGGAAAACTCATATATGTGTGTGTGTGTGTGTGTGTGTGTGTGTGTGTGTGTGTGTGTGTGTGTGTGTGTGTGGGGTGTGTGTGTGTGTGTGTGTTGTGTGTGTGTGTACGCGCGCGTGCAAACAATCGCAGACGAGCGATCTTAACTATGCAGGCCAGATTTCCACCCCCCCACCTGTGGCTTGTCCTGTATATATATATCGGCCAGTGTGTTAATAATAATAAATAAATAAATATATATATATATATATATATATATAATATATATATAAAATAATATATAATTTATTTTATTTATTATTATTATTAACACACTGGCCGATTCCCACCAAGCCAGGGTGGCCCGAAAAAGAAAAACTTTCACCATCATTTACTCCATCACTGTGGAAATAAATGGTATAAAATACCGACACAATGGAAATATAAACACAAATGCAGTATAATGTGATCCTTTATTGACAACGTTTCACCCACACAGTGGGCTTTTTCAAGTCACACACGGATCTACCTGGGGTTGGAAGGTACGGGAGTATTTATAGTTCAGAATGTTGAGGTCAGGTGGAGAATGCTGCATCTGATGATCTACCGGGTGGGGTTATAGAGTCTTGGGTAGCTAGGCGGGGATATTGGACAAGTTGTGAGTAGGCCTTCTGCAGTGTTCTATGTTCTTATGTGGGATAGCGATGAAGAAGTTTCTTGGCGAGTGGTTCAGCTATGTTATAGAAGCCATTGTTCTGGTTGAAATTGTTGGTTATAGAGATAAACGATGATTCCAAGATTCTTCTGTGGCTATAAGTCTTGAGTTTCTGTAGTTAATTAAATGGTTGTGTGAATTGCGATGTTGTACACAGGCATTCCTTGTATCGTCAGTCCTGCTTGCATATTGGTGTTCTGAAATACGTGTTTGGAGGTCTCTTGATGTTTCGCCCACATATAATTTGTTGCAGTCATTACAAGGGATTATGTATACCCCTGCAGAGGATGGAGGCTTGTCCTCTCTACTTCTGGTGATGTCCTTGATGGTCGTGGTTGTGGAGGTAGATACTTGGAATGATGTTTTGGCAAAGATGTTGGAAACATGTTGGCAATGGAGTTGGTGGGAAGGACTATGTATCTCTTCTCGGCAGTGTCTTCTCTGGGTGTGTTGAAGATGTTTAATGCTCGCCGTCTGCAGTCTCTGATGAAGTGACAAGGATAGTGGAGTTTGGAAAATACTTGTTCAATTATAGTGCATTCTTCCTCAAGGAACTCGTTGCTGCAGATTCTGAGTAGACAGGACAAGCCTCCATCCTCTGCAGGGGTATACATAATCCCTTGTAATGACTGCAACAAATTATATGTGGGCGAAACATCAAGAGACCTCCAAACACGTATTTCAGAACACCAATATGCAAGCAGGACTGACGATACAAGGAATGCCTGTGTACAACATCGCAATTCACACAACCATTTAATTAACTACAGAAACTCAAGACTTATAGCCACAGAAGACAACACTCAATACAGAAGAATCTTGGAATCATCGTTTATCTCTATAACCAACAATTTCAACCAGAACAATGGCTTCTATAACATAGCTGAACCACTCGCCAAGAAACTTCTTCATCGCTATCCCACATAAGAACATAGAACACTGCAGAAGGCCTACTCACAACTTGTCCAATATCCCCGCCTAGCTACCCAAGACTCTATAACCCCACCCGGTAGATCATCAGATGCAGCATTCTCCACCTGACCTCAACATTCTGAACTATAAATACTCCCGTACCTTCCAACCCCAGGTAGATCCGTGTGTGACTTGAAAAAGCCCACTGTGTGGGTGAAACGTTGTCAATAAAGGATCACATTATACTGCATTTGTGTTTATATTTCCACTCCATCACTGTCTTGCCAGAAGAGTGCTTTACACTACAATTTTTAAACTGCAACATTAACACCCCTCCTTCAGAGTGCAGGCACTGTACTTCCCATCTCCAGGACTCAAGTCCGGCCTGCCGGTTTCCCTGAACCCCTTCATAAATGTTACTTTGCTCACACTCCAACAGCACGTCAAGTATTAAAAACCATTTGTCTCCATTCACTCCTATCAAACACGCTCATGCATACCTGCTGGAAGTCCAAGCCCCTCGCACACAAAACCTCCTTTACCCCCTCTCTCCAACCTTTCCTAGGCCGACCCCTACCCCGCCTTCCTTCCACTACAGACTGATACACTCTTGAAGTCATTCTGTTTCGCTCCATTCTCTCTACATGTCCCGAACCACCTCAACAACCCTTCCTCAGCCCTCTGGACAACAGTTTTGGTAATCCCGCACCTCCTCCTAACTTCCAAACTAGAATTCTCTGCATTATATTCACACCACCACATTGCCCTCAGACATGACATCTCCACTGCCTCCAGCCTTCTCCTCGCTGCAACATTCATCACCCATGCTTCACACCCATATAAGAGCGTTGGTAAAACTATATCTCATACATTCCCCTCTTTGCCTCCAAGGACAAAGTTCTTTGTCTCCACAGACTCCTAAGTGCACCACTCACTCTTTTTCCCTCATCAATTCTATGATTCACCTCATCTTTCATAGACCCATCCGCTGACACATCCACTCCCAAATATCTGAATACATTCACCTCCTCCATACTCTCTCCCTCCAATCTGATATTCAATCTTTCATCACCTAATCTTTTTGTTATCCTCATAACCTTACTCTTCCCTGTATTCACCTTTAATTTTCTTCTTTTGCACACCCTACCAAATTCATCCACCAATCTCTGCAACTTCTCTTCAGAATCTCCCAAGAGCACAGTGTCATCAGCAAAGAGCAGCTGTGACAACTCCCACTTTGTGTGTGATTCTTATCTTTTAACTCCACGCCTCTTGTCAAGACCCTCGCATTTACTTCTCTTACAACCCCATCTATAAATATATTAAACAACCACGGTGACATCACACATCCTTGTCTAAGGCCTACTTTTACTGGGGAAATAATTTCCCTCTTTCCTACATACTCTAACTTGACCTCACTATCCTCGTAAAAACTCTACACTGCTTTCAGTAACCTACCTCCTACACCATACACTTGCAACATCTGCCACATTGCCCCCCTATCCACCCTGTCATACGCCTTTTCCAAATCCATAAATGCCACAAAGACCTCTTTAGCCTTATCTAAATACTGTTCACTTATATGTTTCACTGTAAACACCTGGTCCACACACCCCCTACCTTATTTATATATATATATATATATATATATATATATATATATATATAATATATATATATATATACTACTAGGTAGTAGGTTGGTAAACAGCAACCGCCCAGGGAGGTACTACCGTCCTGCCAAGTGAGTGTACAACGAAAGCCTGTAATTGTTTTACATGATGGTAGGATTGCTGGTGTCTTTTGTCTGTCTCATAAACATGCAAGATTTCAGGTATGTCTTGCTACTTCTACTTGCATTTAGGTCACACTACACATACATGTACAAGCACATATATACACACACACACCCCTCTGGGTTTTCTTCTATTTTCTTTCTAGTTCTTGTTCTTGTTTATTCCTCTTACCTCCATGGGGAAGTGGAACAGAATTCTTCCTCCGTAAGCCATGCGTGTTGTAAGAGGCAACTAAAATGCCGGGAGCAAGGGGCTAGTAACCCCTTCTCCTGTATATATTACTAAATTTAAAAAGAAAAACTTTAGTTTTTTCTTTTGGGCCACCCCGCCTCGGTGGGATACGGCTGGTATGTTGAAAGAAGATATATATATATATATATATATATATATATATATATATATAATATATATATATATATATATATATATATATATATATATATATATATATAATATATAAATTATATATATATATAAATATATATATAAATATATATATATATATATAAATTTATATATATATATATAAATTAATATATATAAATTATATATATAAATTATATATATATATATATATATAATATATATAAATATATATAAATTATATATATATATATAAATTATATATATATATATAAAAATTATATATATATATATATATAAATTATATATATATATTATATATATATAATATATATATATATATATATATATATATATATATATATAATTGAGTTGCTGCATATACATTTTTCAAGGGTCTTCTTTTGAATTGTATCATTGGTGGCCCGGTGGCCTGGTGGCTAAAGCTCCCGCTTCACACACGGAGGGCCCGGGTTCGATTCCCGGCGGGTGGAAACATTTCGACACGTTTCCTTACACCTTGTTGTCCTGTTCACCTAGCAGCAAATAGGTACCTGGGTGTTAGTCGACTGGTGTGGGTCGCATCCTGGGGGACAAGATTAAGGACCCCAATGGAAATAAGTTAGACAGTCCTCGATGACGCACTGACTTTCTTGGGTTATCCTGGGTGGCTAACCCTCCGGGGTTAAAAATCCGAACGAAATCTTATCTTATCTTATCTTATCTTTCAGTCCAATGAATAGAAGAGCATCTTAAGACTGATTCAAGTGTTTGATTCACCAACTTTTTTGCACAAAGGCTATTAAAGAATTATAATCAACCATAATTTATTAAAAACATTTTTTCTAGAACTCCCCCTCATGGAATTAAAAATAGGCAGACTTAGAGCATTACCCAAGATTTTTATATTAGACAGCCTTCTAGTTGAAAAGACAACTAATGCTGAACTCAAATTTCTTGAAATTTGTTGAACCTATTCAATGCCTTAAATATTAAAAACCACTTCATACCCCCTGATAAAGCATTTACTGTACTGTAACCATAAAGCAAATATTATACATGCTTCTTAGGGATTTATTTACACAATATTTACACAACTTACATGGTTTTCTTATCTTTTATCTATTTTCACTGTTCTTTACAATTCGTTAAGAGTACAGATGATATTCAAAATATCTACCATACCTAAAGTCTTTAAAGCCACTTGTGTCGCAACTGTTTGCCATGCACATCAAACAGACTTGACCTATGGACCCTTTCATATAAATCCTGATCTGCAAAGTACAAATCATGAAGTATGCTACAACTGTCCATAACAGTTCCATATTCAGATCTTTAAAGCTGAACGTTTGGAAGAGTTATGACAGAAATATTTATTATAAAGAATGCTCATATAATTTCAGGAATATAAAACTACTTTAATTCATATATTACATAACGTGTTGTTTACTTAACTCAGCCCCCTCAGCCACGTTTTCTATTAACTTCAAAGGTCTAAACTGTGTTACAACAATCTATACTAATACTTTTTATACAGTACAATACATATAATTTATCCTGTGCACTATAATCTATATATTTTATGTATTTGTCCTTATTATTGTCTTGATTAACAATATATATTAAAAAGTGGTTCATGTTTTTCTGCATGTTTTAGGTGATAATTCTTAAATAAATCTCTAAAAATGTAAAAAAGCCATTATTGCAAGCATATAATGTACTTTTGGATAGTACATATATGACCATTGTCAGATAAATGTACTTGTTCACCTTATAAAAAGAATTAGCTCAAAACACACCCAATTCGTTTTGTCATAATTATTGTAAAAATAAAATTTCAGAACATAATTTTTATTTATTTACATTTACCATAATAAATCCACAAAAGTGTATCACATAACACATGTCCATCACTTGAATACCAGCCTAACCAACGTTACCACGAAATAAGAGGGGGGAGTGGGGGGGTAGGTCACAAGAATAAAGAGCAGCCTAAAGTCAATGAGTCCTTAGCTTGAATCATTATACAAAATGCTCACTACCTGCTGTTATACTGTTGGTCATCAATGTTCACTTAATGTGCTAGAGCACTATTGGAATTTGAACTTTTCAGAAGGGTAAAAAGTTTGGGCCCTTGTCACTCTACCGCTGGAAGCAGAGTTCACTAAACCTGCACTATTATTAAGTCATTCAGTTTAAAATATACAGGTATGAAATTACAAAAAAGAATTGCATAGTCTTGAAGAAGAGAGTGCAAGTTTGTTGTAAAAAGTTTAACATTTATTTATATTCCATAAAGATGGTGATGGACACATTTATCCAACAATAATTTTTAAATATTAAACAATGTCAATGGCTTTTTTGTTTATTAATTGTACTGGACAGAGCATTCAGATTAATGTCACTGATGAAGACTGTACATAAGAGAAAACTGAAGCTTTCTAAGAATTACTTCAATCCTGATGTGTAATGTATGATAAAAAAAAATAAAGATTTTTTTTTCAGCAGTCACTTGGGCCAAGCTTGTCCTTGATAAAGTTTCTGCTAGGCAACCTGAAGTTTCTGGAAGTTGTTGGCCATTTCAAGAACTTTGCTGTTCCGAGACACAGGCGGGCGAGTCTGAAAGTATGGATGCTGTATTTGTAAAAACAAGATTAAGTGTATTGTATGACTTTCATAGAATTAGTCTAATAAGCTAAAGAGGAAGTTAATTACTACAGGTCGACCATCACTAATCCGGCAATTAGTTATCCAGTTCCATCAGTAATCTGGCACTAATTTCGGCTAGCATAATTTCAAATTTCATCATTTTGTTGACTCAAATCATTACATTGACTCAAATTTCATCATTATACTGATTCAGAAATTGTGCAGATGGTTGTAAATGCACAGCAGCAAGCCAGTGGAGGACAAAGCAGTCATGAAAATGAGGAAGATGTAGCAGTCTCTCTATTGATAGGTTAATTAAGCGTATTCTAACCTAACCACTCTGTAATCTGGTGCTCACTAATCTGGCATACTACAGGTCCCAATGATGCCGGATTAGTGATGGCTGACCTGTAAGAGTAAATTCTTTAAAAATTTGGGATACTCAAGGACCATTTCTGTGATGGATTCTAAAAAAATGAATCAAGCCATGCTAGTATCTAAAAAGTATTAAGCTACTCTACCCATTTATACACCATGCAACTATGTGCATTACTGTTATTATTCTTACAATATTCCTGGGAAAGCACAAAACCTGTAGGGATTAAATAGTGCCTGGGGAATGGGAGGTAATCAGCTTTAATCCAAGGAAGGAAGGGTAGCCCCAATTCCTTGATTAAGACGTCTACATTGAGGTGTTCCTTTCCCAATGAAGGGTGCAAAAGTCATAACAGAAATTTGACCCTGTCTGTCACTGTGGCAGTGACCTGTATAAACAGGAAGCAAATAGTTTTCATGGTTTTATCTTGTATGCTCATTCTCTCATATTTAACAGCTTGTTGTTGACAGAAGATTCTTCAGATTACTTACATAATGTACAAAGCTTTATAAAATTCAAGTGGGGAGTTCTGTATGATGAAGTCAACTGACTGAATCAGAATCACACACTCAGTGGCAGTAAGGTCTGTGCTCCTCTATTTTACATTCTCCAGTGGTTTCTAACAACCCTGTGATGGCCTAGCAAAGACTTACATAACACTAACATACTTGGATACCCAGAATGAGATAAATCAGCTGCAAAAATCACCCAAATCTACATCACCTGACCATTTACCCCACTGCCAAGTGAAGTGAATCTTCTCAACATCTATCCACTACCCATACTTAATAAACCACCTGACCCCCTCTGTCATTGGCCAGGGTTCAGGGCAGCAAAAGAAGATTCAGTAAACAACCCAGGACTGATAACCACAGGCGAGGAAAACATTACTATAAGTACACCGTCTCCTCCCAGCAAGAAGGACACAACCCTTACCTCCCACTCCTACCCTCGCAATACTCACCAAACATCAACAAACATGGCTGCCACCCCAAACAATGAAGATAACTCCTCCTGTGGATTCATCAATTTCGAGATACAAGACCCAGAGGTGGCTAAATTCATCAGGATACAGGATCAAAAAATTGCCATGTTAACCTGAGAAATGCAGGAACTAAAAACCTCAAATGACATGCTCACTTGGGAAGTGCAGCAACTAAAAACCACCAATGCTCAGTACCATGACAAAATCAGAACAAAGTAACAACCACACTTAGACTAAGGATACTATCAACCTCCTCAGAGAGCAAGTCACTAAACTCAATACCCACCTCAAAGAAGAAAGATCATGAGTGGATCTCCAACAGTGCTTTGCGAGGGATGGGAAAATTGTTGTCAGGAAAGAACTCACTGGAAAGAGGTATTTTATTTCTACTGAATACGAACTAAAAAAATTCCTAGGTGATGCTGGTCTGAGTCAATAAGATGCAGTTTATACCCACTGTCCACGAGCAGTGTTATGAACCACTCTAACTGTTATATACTGCTATTATTGTTAGGTAAGACACATATGCAACAGTTAGGTATCTTTATTATGAAACGTTTCGCCTACACAGTAGGCTTCTTCAGTCAAGTACAGAAAAGTTGATAGAAGCAGAAGATACTTGAAGACGATGTAATCAGTCCATCACCCTTAAAGTATTGAGGTGGTCAGTCCCTCAGTCTGGAGAAGAGCATTGTTCCATAGTATGAAACAATATGGGGAAGAAGTGACAGGATGGAGCTTTTTATAGCGCCAAGAGGTGAGACGTAGGCCACTAGGAGAGGTAAGAACTCAGATGTTGAGAAGTCAGGTCCCTCTCAAATCCAGCCCCTCTCATAATAAAGATACCTAACTGTTGCATATGTGTCTTACCTAACAACCTGTCGGTATTTTATACCATTTTAATGTTCAATCTGTCAGACACTGCAACACAAGGGTATCTTGGTACAGACCTGCAATCAACTTCGACAACTTCCACTAGTGAGAGGGGCTGGATTTGAGAGGGACCTGACTTCTCAACATCTGAGTTCTTACCTCTCCTAGTGGCCTACGTCTCACCTCTTGGCGCTATAAAAAGCTCCATCCTGTCACTTCTTCTCCATATTGTTTCATACTATGGAACAATGCTCTTCTCCAGACTGAGGGACTGACCACCTCAATACTTTAAGGGTGATGGACTGATTACATCGTCTTCAAGTATCTTCTGCTTCTATCAACTTTTCTGTACTTGACTGAAGAAGCCTACTGTGTAGGTGAAACGTTTCATAATAAAGATACCTAACTGTTGCATATGTGTCTTACCTAACAACCTGTCAGTATTTTATACCATTTTAATGTTCAATCTGTCAGACACTGCAACACAAGGGTATCTTGGTACAGACCTGCAATCAACTTCGACAACTTCCACTAGTGAGAGGGGCTGGATTTGAGAGGGACCTGACCTCTCAACATCTGAGTTCTTACCTCTCCTAGTGGCCTACGTCTCACCTCTTGGCGCTATAAAAAGCTCCATCCTGTCACTTCTTCTCCATATTGTTTCATACTATGGAACAATGCTCTTCTCCAGACTGAGGGACTGACCACCTCAATACTTTAAGGGTGATGGACTGATTACATCGTCTTCAAGTATCTTCTGCTTCTATCAACTTTTCTGTACTTGACTGAAGAAGCCTACTGTGTAGGCGAAACGTTTCATAATAAAGATACCTAACTGTTGCATATGTGTCTTACCTAACAACCTGTCGGTATTTTATACCATTTTAATGTTCAAACTGCTATTATTCTCTAAAATCCTAGTATTTTCATACTACTGTTACTTTCTTGTCTATTCCTACTACTATTTTTGCCTAACTCACAGCTGTCAACTGTCTTATATTTTCAACCACTCTACCTCATAGTTTTAGTTGTTATTAATCACTACAAGATCACCATCCTGCTTATTTAGAAAAGTATACAGTAGGGCCCCACTTCATGGCATTTCACCTTATGGTGTTCCACTAATATTACCAAAACTCCTGCCTGACTTATGTGGTCACCGCGTGTTACCCGGTTTGTTTACATTCGCCGTGAACACAACTCTCCATTATGTCTGGAAACTTTCCAAAATTTCAAGTGCTTTAACCCTTTGAAGGTCCAAGCCATAGATCTATGCCGTGTCTACAGGGTCCAGGAATTTAAAAAAAAAAAAATTTATTTTTTCTTATAAAATGGTAATCTTTTTCTGAAGGTAATAAAAGAAAAAGTACAAAATTTGATGAAAAACTGATGAAATTACACTATCACAAATTTTATTGCATCAGTGATTTTGCTCGCTTTGATTCCTATTTTAGGCCAATTACATTATTCCTGTTGAACAAATTCTTAGCTATTTCACTAATATTCCTTCTATTTTATCGACTGGGCACAAGACACTGCCCAATTAACCATTTCAACTACCCAATAAAGTGAACAGCAATTGGTAATTTGGCCAATTTCACACACAGTTTAAAATATTCCAGTTTCAAAATAGGGTCCAGAATAAACAATGCAGCATTCCTGATACTAAAAATAACATTTCCTCTGTTTATTGGTTATGTTTTCAGGCTTTACAAATGAATTCCATTTTGATTTTTTATTTATATAAAGAATTCTTATTTACACCAAAAAATAGAAGATTTACTGTTATGCATTATTGTAATAATTGTATAAATAATATCAGTACGTTAGAACTACCAGCTGACACGTATTGAACATGTGACGTCATTTGATGACTTGAACATTGGAAAAAAACAAACATTTCTGCTATGTTGAGCTTAATTTCAAGCTAATTTTCAGTATGAAAACCAATCAAGATCATCTCTATTTCTGTAATATATCTTTCATTCTACCAAATTAGACCAAGAATCCGTGAATACAACCCATACAAAAATACACTGTAAAGTAGGTGTTTTAATCCAAAAACATTGTAGCAGTTTTTTTCTTGTGCACTGCGTGCTGCAGGATTTGTTTTATATGGTGCACAATTACCACACACATCCATTCTTTCATATCTAGGCCCAAATTTACTACTCACAGCTTATCTGAGTGAGCTGAGCTCATGGCATAGAACTATGGCTTGGACTCTCAAAGGGTTAAAGCTATTTCATATTTTATATATACATACTCTGATAATTATACTTATGTGTACCTGTACCTAAATAATGTTGCACACTGTGCTGGCATGCAGGTACATGTTAAAAATCACTAGTCTTGAAGATACCATATTAATTCGTTCCAGACACCCAGAAGTATCAACAACAACTTTTTTTTTACCTAAAAGATAGGTTTACATGCACAAAGAATGAACATTCAACATGACAGTTATTTTATTGAAGGCTGTTGTTGATGAATGGAAGACAGGGAGGAGGAGAGAGGGAAGAGAGGTTATTGTTTGGAAGGGGAATCCCCCTCCATAAGGACTCTAGGTCACTTCAGGGGTCACTTCCCTAGCATAAATATAGATTTACATGCAGAAAAAAATGCCAAATAAATGTACAGCACTAATAAAATGTATAAATGAACATTATAATAAGGGTAGTTGATGAGTGGAACGGTCTGCCTAGTAGATTGAAGCTAAAACATTGGGTAGTTTTA